CACAACCGTCCTTCCCCGTCAATAGTGACCAAGTAGTTTAGCCGCTCTTCGCGCGACAAATAGCGCACTCGCTCCGAGTCCATTCTCTGCCTCGACACGGTAGGATGTTCGTAATTCTTGCCTTCGCCGTAATCCAGCCAGTAAAAGAAATTCTCGTGTGTATCCTCCTTCTTCCACTGCTCGTGGTACGCGCGCAGATTACTCCCATACCGGTGCTTGTGATCCACCATTTCGAGAAAGTACTGCAGATCCATCATTTTGGCCGTCTTTTCACGCTGCGCTCTCGACGCGCTGCGCTTGCGCTGCTGCTCTGTCTGCTCCTTTGACGCTGCCTCATCGTCGTTGTCCGTCTCTTCTGCGCTATCATGCGGGTCGTCTGCGCCCGCTCGTCGCGCAATCTCACCTACCTTTTTCCACTTCTCGCGCGCAGCCGTCGAACTTGCGCGCGCTCGCTGCTCAGGCGTAGTCAGCTTTTCGCGCAGCTCTGCCTCCTCCGCAGCGCGCGCCTTGGGACGGGTAGTATGTCGCCATTTGGCTATTTTCAAAAAATCTTAGCTTTTTTTGGCGGGGAAAAAATCGTTGGGGGAAAAATTGCTAACCGTCGCGTATCACCTAGGCACATTATTAGCCACACAACTTGTTCATTCAACCGTACATATTCTGTACGTCTGTTTTTCAAACGGTTTTGCGGACCTCTGCCCAGCGTGCGCTAGCGTCCAGCCCCATGCCCTGGAGCTGCCTTCGCTCCCGGTACCCACGGTAGTTGCGCTGTATCACTTGTGCTGCGTGATTCTGCTCGTCTGTTGTCGCTGCCATGTTTGCTATGCGTTGCCAATGTCGCAACTTTCAAAACTTGGCAGCGGGCTGGCATTCCACTCCATATATGTGTGGCGCAGGGAAACGTGGAGAAGGGCTGAGTGTCCGTGTCCGTTGTGAGGCTTGACAGCTGGGCACAGACCTGTGGAGCTAGCGAGTGTAATCCGGTACGCCGGCAACTTTGCCTTCGTCAGGTGCGAGAGCCGCGTCATCAGCACATTACCTTACTTTTACCGCATTTTGCGCACCTGAGGTTTTTTTTGTGTGAGCATATTATATCCCTCAATCTCAGGATGTGATGGTAAACGCTGAAATTAAAACATTTGGTTTATTTTAAGGGATGAACGTGATTTTTATTTTTATTTTGGCATTCTACGAACGAGGGTGATCATCGGAAAATTAGAACATAAAGCGTATCAGCGCACGTGATTATGTCTAGATTTCTAACTAACTACTTACTACTTGCACTTTGGCCAACATCAACACAGGGTACAGCCTGGAAGCCAGAGATGATTGTGGAAATGTCGCTGCTTGAGTGGTTCTATCGGTTCCCGAAGTCTGTAGAGATTTCTATCATGGAGATGGGTAAAATTCTGTTACTTGTGATTGAAATCTCAAGGAAGAAGAAAAAAAAAATCCTAGTTGCACTTGTTTTATCTTGGAAGCTGAAATTCTGCATACACCGTTATGCCGAATTTAGGAATGAATAATACGGAGAAAAGGTTAATTTATCTCTTCTCTATGGAAATCGTAAGGGGGGGGGATGGGGTGGGCATTTCTTGAATAATATGGTAATTAAATAAGTTTCTATTTTTCAATGGTAACTACAAATATTCCCAAAACATTTAGCAATACTTGAACTCCTCATCGAGAGGTGTCAAAGGTAGCATATTGCAATTGGACATGGTGGATAGAGGCCCAACTAATCACCGTCCAACAATTGGTCTCGTCTGGTATCTAAAACCATGGGACACCTGATCCCTCAAGTACTTTATCTCCACTCCAACACATCCGCGAATTTTTTTTAACATCAATACACACCGATAACCACCCCTCTCTTATTTCTCACATATACCGAAGTATGCAACGCGTGATGCCTCCATACCGCTCAGCACCTCGAAGCCAAACAACACGCATACCACCCCAGCGCTTCTTAACCCACGTCCTCCTTTCCGCTGTAGCAACTCTCATCCCGCACCTCCTCCATCACCTCCTCCTCTGCGTTCCCCTAGCCCAACTCTCCCTCACCAACCTCTCTCTAACCCACCTCTCCCTCATCCAACTCATCGTCCTCCTCCTATCCTTCAACCTCACAAACATCCTCGGTCTCGCCTTCCGCCTCTTGTTCCTCGGCCTGGGCACTCGTAACCCGCTACGCAGCGAATCCTACGGCCTCAGCGTCTCGTCCATCGTCGCCACGCTACACAGCGTCACTTTACTGCTGGGTCGATATGTGACTGGTGGGTTTACAGAGCGCCAGCATGCTGCGGTACATTTTTGCCTCGTGTTTTGGGTGCTTGGCGAGTGTGAGGGGTATTGGGCGTTCAGGCGGTGGAGAGAGGTGAGGGGTGCGGATGGGGGCCCGCGGTTTGAGTATTGGCGGGAGGCGGTGGCGTATCGGGCGGGTGTTACGGAGTTCTGGTGGCGTGGGGGGTTGAGTAAGGAGTGCTTGGTAAGGTTTGCGGAGCGCGTGGTATTCCAGGTGGTTTGTGGCGTTGTGGCGTATGGGGTTAAGAGTGTGGTTAATACGGATCCAGAGGGTGGAATTCTTTGTGGTATGGTGGGTGGGATGGTGCTGTTTGGCGGGTATCCGGGTTCGGAGTGGGAAGTAGTTTTGGGACTGGCGTTGTTGAGGGTTGTAAGGCAGGCTAATTATGTGTGTTTTTGGGCGGTGGTTGGATTGGCGAGGCAGTGGAGATTGGTGAGATGCGAAAGGGGTAATGTTGAGAGTAAGAGTGAGTCTGGAAGTGGCTATGGAATGGATGTAAAGTGTAGTTGTGGTGTGTAACAGTAAAAGTATATCTCTCCGTAACTTCATAATCGTCGGTTGGATTTCCCACTGCTTAACATCTACCGCGATAGGCGGTTCTATAGGCGACTTTTTATCTCGAAAGTCTTTATGCGCCAAAGACTGCTTGCCATCTACTTTTCATGTCCTGCAGTGCACACACAACCTCAGTGTATACTGCACTCTGCAGTGCGTCACCATGAAGATCGTCGTCACAAGAAAAGTCGCAGTGAATGCATTTGCGCACAAGTTCCAGATATTTGGGACCCAGAGTCTGGATAGAGGGGTGTTTTTCGTCAAGCAGCTTTCTCGCTGCGATAATTTCGCTGGGTGTGCCATTCAGTTGGGGTCCTGTAATGTCTCCTTGGGCACAGATTTCCAGCAGGGCAACACCGAGTTTAGCTAGAATGAGGTTGCGAATGCCAAACGTGTGCTTCAGATCAAGCGCGTCGTGATCTGGGTTGGTGGTGAGAGAGGAGTCGTCTGGAAAGCGGTTGCTCAGGTGCAAGCTATCGAGTGCGTCGGAAATGTCGTTGACATCTGCGTGAGATGGATCCGTGAAATACGCCACATCTTGAAGAGTCCATGCTTGCGGCAGCCAAGAGGTTGAATGGTACTGCAGAACAGCCTCAGCTAACTTGTGTGCAAGTGTAAGCTGTTGCAACATACGAAAGCGCTGGATGAGGCTCTTGATAGGCATAGCCCCTTTTCGCCTGGCGAAAGACGATATGTCGTTGCTGGCGAGTTTACTTGCATCGTAGAACATGAATCGCATTACTGGCTGACTCTTTGCAACTTCAATAAATCCCACGCAGCCATCTTGACATGCTGATTTAGATGAGCGCAATCTTGTTACGTGGCAGCAAACGCTTTCTGTTGTTTTCAAGTCCAGCATGACAAAAGATTGGGCCTGTGTCGTTTGTATGTTGCTTGTTATAGTCGTTCGAACACACCTGACATCGTCTTTAGGATCGTTGATTCGGACTCTCTTCTTTGACTTGGCCTTTTCCGACTTTGTCTTAGTTGTAACTGGTACTGTTTCTCCTATTCCATGACACAATGCGCTCACCAGTGCTGGCTGAGGCGATGTCGGCACTTTGTATGGTGTAAGTGATGTAATGGTCCGAATTTGTAGCCATATTGGTACGTCAATGGATGGTCTACACGTTGTTAGCAGGATGCTTCTCATATGATGCACTGAGCTGCGAAGCATGTCCGCTCTGGCATACTTTTGGACTGTGAGACCTTGTTTTGGTTGGCATGCAACGACAACATCAAGCTGTACGTTGTCGTGCCCGCTCTTGGCATCGAGCGACAGCTTGGCCTGGTGTCCACTATGAGATGTGTTCGTGCAAGACCATGACTCGTGGATCGACTCTCCTAGTTGTTGCGAAGCGAGGCGGATCTGCTGGTAACTCCTCGGCACGGCTTTGCGAATGATGCAAGCCGAAGGGACATTGCGGCGCTTCTGCATCTTGCACCTCTGTTTGCGCAACTTGCTCAGTGCCTTATTCCATTTGTCCAAGGAATCCAGCTGTCGGATGTATTCATTCTCTTTACGAGTTGTAGTGAAAGCGTGCCAGATCTTCCTTCTGAACTCGTGTTGTGGTTGTTTTGTGTTACCCAGACCGTCCTCGAGTTTGCTTAGGCTGTCTCTCGTTTCGCGGAGGATATCGCGGAGTCGCGTCACAATGTCCTGACATAGCTCGTAATCTTGTTGCATCAAGCTCCGTAGTCGCTGCTCAATATCCTTTCCTTGCTCTTGCCAGTTCTTGTGCGTCGGATCCTCCATCATCTCAGATATCTCGCTGGGGTCAGCCATGGTCGCCTGTAGTAGCATGCGGCAATCATTGTTAAAATTCGCCGCCGCTACTCGGAACTTCAGCTGAATGTCGGATGCAACTTCTACGTGTCGTGAGAAAGTCGTCAGTTTGCGCCTGGCGGTGCTGTAGGACTTGAGAATCTCAACAACAACCGGCACTACACCAAAAACCAGGCCTGCGACTTCGATTCCCGACATGATGTGAAGAAAGAATTTGAGGAGACATGAGGGCTGATCAGGCTGAACACAATCGCATTGTTGGCGGAGTGAGGCGCAGTCTGGCCCCCATTGTAACACCTAAGCGCTCCTGCCCCTCAACGGCTCAGCCTGATCGCAATAGCACCTCCTCCACATCAACATTACAGCAAAGAATTCCTCGACCAAGAACCCTTCCTTGAATCATCGTCTAAGAGCTCTTGAGTGTCCAATTATTATCCTCTCGAGTTTCTCATCGAATTTGATGCCGCAGGCTTGGTCCATGGAGTGCAGGTTAGCCAACAAAGATCCTAGGTATGACGATTCATCAACGCAAAACTGATATTGGGAACAGCGAGCGTATGTTGCGGTAGGGAGCCATCCAAGACTGAGAACCCCCTTGCGCGACAGATTGTGTGTTCCGAATAGTTATTACCCATGTTTCCAGCAGGGGTCCGCCACGAGGCGATGGCTGCTGAAGAAGGCGGCTCGGTGATGAAGCGCTGGCAGCCTGGAACGGGACGTTCCCAAGAAACAGCATCATTGCCCCCGAGCAGTCCTACAGCCTTATCTAGAACGCGATCACCGATAATCTCTTCCAGAGCCTATTCCTTCTCAACGTCTGGATCACAGAACTACCTACCAATCACCTTCGATCACACAGGTCAGATGGCTCCTCCAGGGGCCAAAATTCGACTTACAACAAATCTTTGGGAGGATGAAGGAACCATTTATTTTCAAGTTGAGACCAGAGAAGTTTGCGTGGCTCGCCGTGAAGACAACCACATGATCAACGGCACCAAGCTGTTGAGTGCGGCTGGAATAACTCGAGGCCGTCGAGACGGCATATTAAAGAGCGAGAAAACTAGACATGTGGTCAAGACCGGTCCGATGCACCTCAAGGGCATTTGGATTCCATTCGAACGTGCTCTAGCCTTGGCAAACAAGGAGAAGATCACCGAGTTACTATATCCTCTGTTTGTGCATGATATTAAGCGGCTCCTATACGATCCGAGGAATCAGAAGCGTACCCATCTTCCCAAGCCCCAACGTAAACCCCAGGAAACAAAAGAATGGGCCGAACCTACCGAAAATCACGTCCGTCAGATTGATGTGCCAGAAGATGGCGACAAAACTTCACAAGAGATCCCATTAGACACGCTGCGGAATGATGAGCTCTACGAGCGAGGCCCCATTGGATCGCTATCCAGGTCTCTCATAGAGACTTTGGGTCTCATTCTTATTGAGGTCAGAACACGCTCCGACGGGGCTCTACAATATGGTTCCCTAGAATCAAGCTGTGCAGCATTGTTTTTCTGGGACACTGACCTAGGATTATCGCGAGGCGAGCTTGATGATATGCTACAAGACTCTCCTCAGCTGCGTGATACTTGTCTTACTGTTCTCGTGTCAATCTCCCAATTTGTCAGCACATGTATGTGGATGATACACGACCTATTGTATTGCGTATCACTGACATGGCACAGCATTGATACATCTCATCAGTAGCGAGCAGCGCCGAAAAGAAGTGTTACAGTCAACAAGGATTTTGACATGTCTGGACCAAACCGCTAATATGATTGAGCAGCAATGTTATTCAACTTACGAGCCCAAGCAAGATGCCGAAGCATTGTGTCAGACTCTCCGTACAAAAATCGATACTCTTATCATGCTAGCACCTAGCCTGGAATCACCAGCGGAAGAAAGCTTTGATGACGAGGCGCCACGTACTATCCAACACATTGAGAAACACTTACCAGAGCAGGCCTACATCAACAGCGTTTCGGAAAAGTTCCCTCTAGCAGCATCAGCAATTGTGGCTCAACTAGGAAAATTGAACTGGGATCGATACAATCACATGCTTCGTTTACAGCGGGAAACGATGCAGCAGGAACTCCAAATGGCCGCCATGGAGAAGGCAAGGACAATATTCAATGACTCTGGTCTCGGGGCATCTTTACCAGCACAATCAAAAGCTGCTTCCAGCCCAGGATCTGTATGCGCACCCTCGATTGTGTCTACCAGGGCCGAAACGAGTCACAAACGTGTGCCTCCACTTCCTGCACAAGCACGGTCTGGTGAGCCTTTTACCTGTGAAATCTGCAATAAACAAGTCAATTTTCAGCGGACCAAAGCCTGGAAGTAAGCTGATCCATCCACACACACTCTTTAAATGCATTGAAGCTAATCAAATTGCCTTAGGAAACATGTCTTTAGTGACATACTGGCATATGCTTGCTTCTTCGCTGAGTGCTGCAACACTCGCGTGTTCTTCGAGGACAGCGATGCGCTAATGACCCACCTGGAAGACCAACATGGTATGGATGTTCGAATTTCGGATGTGGAGTGTCCTCTCTGCATGGAGTTTACTTCTGGAGACCGTGATGTCCTAGCACTCCACATTGCTCGCCATATGGAAGAGATCGCTCTTGCTATACTACCTTCTGGTGTTGAATCCGACGAAGAATCAGCATGTGACTCTGCAAGCGACAGTATATCTACTGATAGCTACTACACACCTAGAGCACGACGTTCCGAATATCCAAAGGATTCCACCGAACCAAAATCACACAGTCGCTATCCGGGAGTACAACAGCAAGGGCCTATAGTTCAGCCAACTGCGATAATTACACCACCGCCACCAGCCAGGCCAGCCAAGCCAGCCAAGCCAGACAGAAGAACCAAAGCACGTGTAACGTGGCCCTGTGTCAACTGCAAGAAGGCACATCTCTGCTGTGACGTTCAGCGCCCTTGTGGCCGCTGTGTAGCTTCTGGCAAACAGGTTAGTTGCCCTTGTAAACTCGTTAGACCTATAATTCTGTTTCTAATGATACTAATTCTGAGAAATAGGAGACATGCAAAGATGTGCAACTCGAGGCCTATAGGGCCCTAAGATCACGGCGAAGGATACCTCTGACAGGGACGTTGAACGTCCAGCTCAGTGCTTCGATAGAGGATTCCGATCCAGAAAACCCATCAGCATCTTCTCGTCGAGCTACGTCTACCCCAGAACATCGTCCTTCACCGCCCAGCATACCACGAGGATCCCTAGAGTCACAAAGACCTACACATGCAATATCCCCTGAACCTGGGCTCTGGCTTGGTGATGGGCGTCAATTGCAGAGAAATTTGAATATAATAAACTATGGCAGTTGGAAGGCTACAAAGGGGCGGAGTTCTGATCTAGATTTTACCAAGGATTCACGATACCTCCCCATTGCACTAGAGCCACCACGATATGCACCTTCCAAATCTAGATTTTTTGTGCCTATTACTTCTCCGTCAGCACCTGGTAGTGTCCCGTATGACCAGGGTGGTTATATACCACAACTTGGAGCTTTCGAATTACAGCTTCCTCCACCATCGAGTTCAACCCCACATCGACAACCTGATATCCATGGGTTTGGAGACCAACCAACAGTTCCCTCAAGCATGATACCACAATATTCTGATATCCCTCACCCATATTCCGCTTCCATACCTCCTGGAATGTATATGACTGAAAACTCGTCTTACGGAACGTGGTCAAAGGTCATCCCCAGGGACATTGAACTACCACCGCCGCCAACGTCACCATCAACATTACCAGGTTCTGGTCTTCCTCCTCCTGAAAAACAAAACTTCTTGTCAGTGCTCAGCAACTTGGCACTGCCAGAGTACAAATTACCTGACCCGGGGCCTCAAGATACTCCTCATCTTAATGATGGCAAGCTTGAATCAGACCCTCAAGGCAACATTGAAACTTCGTCTATACAACAATGGAGACCTCGATTGGCTCCTCATATAGCTACAAAACGACCCACATATGCAGAGGTTACTAGAATGACTTGGGAGCAGGCCAGACAGCGTGAATCAGAGCGTCAAAACAACAGTGGGGCATCTTCCAAACAACGATCAGAATCTCCGTGGGAGTACAAGGGCGACAGAGCTTCCAAGACGACGCCCAAAAGTAGCACTGAATACAGGAAATAGCTGAGGAAGCGCAAATGAATATAGCACTCGACTACAGTGGGTATGCCAGTCGGATACGGTCACCAATTTGTTTTTGATTTTAGAATAATTTCGTTAGGTTAGAAATACAAGCCAGACCTTCCTAAACAGACTTTATCAAGAAATCGCATTTCGTTGAGTCCCCTAGTTGTAATTTAGACGAAAGTGAACGGGTCAAAAACCTACACAGTAACAAAAGATGTTCATTCCCCATGACCCCCAAACCCTACATCGCCTCCCCCCCGCTGCATCTCCAACACTCAAACATCTTCAACAACCCGCCACGTACCCCCCATCAACGCATTACTCACCTCCGCCCCCTCATCCGCCAACTTCCTACTCCCCTCCTCCCCCACCACCGGCAATCGCACCTCGACCCTCTTCCCCTCTGGCACTGTCTCCCCCTCAATCTCATACGGAAACCTCACGTAATCTGGAAGCAACCCACACTGCTTCAGTAGCGAGGCATGGTCCCAGCTAATATGCTCATGGCACAGTCTATCGCCGCGCAGCGCGACGACGGAAGTAAAGGGGATAGCGAGGCGTTTGCCGGTGGGAGGGATGCCAGGGAGGAGCCAGGGGACGGTGCTGGTATGGGTGAGGGTGAAGATAAATTCGTCGATTACGCGGTCGATTCCTACTGTGCGGGAGATGAGGGAGAGGGAAGTGTCGGGGGGATTGCTGAAGATGAAATGGTGGGTGTAGAAGGAGGTTAGGTTTGTTTTGCCAATGCCACCGCTGTTCATGGAGAGTTAGTTTGGGAAGAGAGGGGGGAGGGATGGGGGGTAACGCACGTCATTGTGGGGATGTGGTTGACGTAGGGTTGGTCGACCATTGTTGCCATTGTTTTGGCTACGTCTCGCTCGCCGAACTCGTATTTTGTGTGTTCTTCCCATACGGCTTCGAGGTCAAAGTAAGGTCCTCCTAGGAGTGGCTTGAGGAATGTTAGACTTCTGGTGTGCGCTATTCCCGCATTGCGTTTATGGTATTTCGGGTCGCTGGGGAGGATCCAGCCGGATTCTTTTTCTGCATCCTCATAGCGATACGTCTTGACACTGCTAGGGGAAATGCCAACGGATTCAGATGATGACTGGCGACGGTGAGCTAGTGGAGGACCAGATGCATGGATTAACTGGGGTGGTTGGTTGGTAGAGCTGAGAGAAATGAATTTCCTGCCGCCGTAGGATATGAGGGCTTTGATGGCTGGATTTTGGCAAGCGGCTTCCTCGACATAGTAAGGAGTCCGTGATATGTACGCTAGAAGATAGCCGTCAGTACGCGACCTGGAAATAGACTCGGGGTCTTGGGGATTTAAAAGAAAGAGTTTACTAACAAATCAAGCCCACACCCTTGTCAAACTCGCATCCATCACAGGTCTTGAGGGCATCCAGCGCTTTTTGCAGTGGGAACTCTCCGCCGTCCTCGGCTTCATTGCCTGGAACCAGAAGCTAGCGAGTTCTTAGCATCCATGTCAACGTCAAACCCAGCCTGGCCCTCCTCTTTATCGCACCACAGTGAAATTCCAATATTTCGAAAACAACATACCTGCACGACTGCAAAACCCTCCTCCGCCCACTTCTGCAATGGCGGCGGATCCAAATACTTCTCACTCGGCCCAATCTCCGCATAATGATCCAGCACAAGCACCAGTCCTGGCCCTCTCCCTCGCCTTGAAAGCGGCGCCTGAAGTGTCACATGTGAAGATATACGTTGCGGCTTCATCGACGTAGTAGGCGCCTGTTCCGTCTCGAGAAGTGGGGTAAATCTCGCCATAATTGAAGCTCTTGAGTTCGTGTTGGGCCGCTTCTTCTCTGCCTCCTTACGAACCGATTCTCAAATCAGATCGAATGTCAAAGGAGAAAGGGGTCTACGACGTAAATTGATAAAAAATTTGCTACCGAGATCGTAGTAAGGGTCCAGATCAAACGAGCGATCAAACCGCCACCCCGATTCGCAACGGCAAGGATAAGATGGGGGTGGAGCAACAGCCCACCTGCTTGCCTTAATGGTGGGGTAAAGTAACAACCTACCTAAACAGGCACCACATTCAAGTCATGTATGACAAAGAAAGAGGGGGGACGCTGCATGCATGACTTTATTTGTTTGCCAGTCCCCGCATGCCCAAAAGACATGCCCTGCCATCGTTTTCTCTAGGATGGCTCGTTTAAGACTGTTCAAGTTTCCTGCGTAACCACGAGTGCACGGTGATGTTGTACAGACTATACTTTAAGCGTTCTGTACTGCTTTTTGTACGAGTTTCTTTCCACGCGCGCGCGTTGCGCCGGGTAAATGGGGATCTATGCGTTGCGAGGGTGTTGAATGTCGTGTTCGGAGTTTCTATGTGGATTGGATGCGCCTACAAGGGGGGACAGAAGTACAAGCGAGAGGTTTGTGTAGCAATAAAGTGCACGTGGTGAGGTAGCAAGGTGCCTTCCAAGATATGTGCATGGAGCTAAGTCGCTTTAGGGTATCCGATGTTGGTATCACCCCTTTCAGGTTGCATGTTCGAGGGTCTCCTTGGATTTGTGTATTATATGACACACCGTTAGATGCGGGCACTCTAAGTCTTTCTCTACGATCTCGACCGATTTTCTCTTTTTAATGACTCCTTTTGTTAATGATATTATTTGGTTTCGTCTTGTTGTACAACACGTGATGAGCACGTTCACACGATACATATCATGTGTTACCCAGCATTGTATGAGGATGAGAACATCGAGTCTGGGTCATAAAAGGACATGTTTTCATAAAGGGTTGAGTTTGTTACAACTAGAAATGTTAAGTCTAGCCAGACGCTGCTGGGGAAGTTTATACCCAGATCCACTCATGCCAAAACCCCGACATACTTCATACGTTTGATCCAACTCCCTCGTCTTGAATCACCATGCTATCCTCCCCAAATGTAACAATTTCGTTCATTGAAACTTTTTCCGGCCGTGTGAAGAACTGGGCAAACGAAAACCATCGAACGTAGGCAAGGAAGGGAGGACCGGCGGAGGAGGAATTTGAGGTGCGCTGGATACAGAGCGCAATGAACTGGTCTCTTCGGGCTGGTTTTGGTGAGCATCGAGTCTTCAAGAATCTGAACCCATCGCCTGCTGTCTTACACAGGGAGATAATCCAGTAGGCAAATCTTGTTGAGTGTCATGGCGGATCTGATCCTCGTCCTTTCCATCTCCATGAGGGATAGGGTTATTTTGCTGTCTTTCTTGTGTCGTGTTATCCTTCCTGCCTCGCTCATGATCAGGCTCATTCCTGCGGTCGACTTCGTCTACTCTGGCCCTAGCTCTGGCTCTGGCTGCAAGTTGATGATCCGGGAATATTGGGTCCAACTAAGTCGCCACCTTGATCCAAAGATGCTTGTACCAAGCCATGTTTGGTTATTGATGTGCTAGCAAGTGAAAGTCGTTTGTTCGGTCCTTCGGTTTGTCGAGAAGATGGCGACCAAGGATGTTGGTCAAAAGTAGGCTTCGTGGCAGGAAGAGAATGGATTGTGGAGATGATAGCGATGCGTGTCGTATAATAAGAGGCATGAATGTTTCTTAATGTTACAATGTGTAATAGTCAGCTTGGGTAAGGAAAATAAAGGATGGAGCTAGGCGCTAATTTGTTGTTGAAACAATCTCGTTGCAGCTTCTGAGATGCTAGTTGAATGCTGCTCATATCGAGCAGGCGCTAGATCCTTGGTAGCGACATTGGCTGTACCCTTGATCTGTTGAAGGACCTGGCCAGCAACTGCGACGGCATCTTCGGGAAGCCCTGATTGTGCGTCAGCATCACATAGGAAAGAGCATCTTGACACGGAAGACTTACCCGCAATTCTAGCAACTTTCAACGCATGACTTTCCCGGTTTACGCCTTTTCTTAATCGGTGTATATAAGAGAACTTCCCGTTGGGTTCTTCAAGTACATCATTGCAGTAGCGGCCAAGCTTCTCAAAGTCCTTAGTCATGTCGGTGAGTGCATGGAAATGGGTTGCAAAAAGTGTCCGGCATTGATTGACGTGGTAAAGATGATGGAGGCAGGCATATCCCACCGCGATGCCATCCTCTGGCGTTGTTCCTCGACCCACTTCATCCATGATGACAAACGAACGGGGCGTAGCCTCCTTGAGAATTTGTGCTGTTTCAAGCATCTCAACCATAAACGTGGATTGGTCTTGGTAGAGATTGTCTGCTGAGCCGACGCGACTGAAAACTTTATCCACTAGACCAATTTCTGCATACTCTGCCGGGACAAACGATCCGGTTTGCGCCAGGATGGAAATGAGTGCGTTTTGTCGTAGATAAGTGCTTTTACCAGCCATATTCGGGCCAGTAATTAGCCATATACGTTCTTTCTCGCCTAGTTGGCAATCGTTCGGTGCGAATTTGCGTCCTTGTTCATGTAAACCGCTTTCGACAACGGGATGTCGCCCGCCGATAATATGATGCGACGGCTTTGCTCCAAGAATAGGCCGAATGAAATTTCTCTCGATAGCAAGGGCTGCAAAGGCACATGCAACATCCAGTTCATCAAGCACGGCTGCATTCCGGCGTAGTTTTACAAGGTTTCGTACTACTCCTTCACGTAGTTCGCCAAGAACATGTTGCTCCTCTGACCGAATGCGAAAGCGAGTCTCATCCATCTGAGCCCCTAACTGTGTCCATTCAGGAATTTGGAAAGAACGAGTAGACCTGCTGCTACTCAAGCTCTTTGGATAGTGATGTGCCACTCGAGACATGTCTTTTCCTCTGACATGCGCAATATGAGCGAGGTTAGGAGTCCATTTCAGCACCAAGCTCTCAGTTCCCATGTCTTTGCGCAGTTTAATTTCCAGTTCGCTTTTAGACTGTCTCAACGTTTCCAGGGTCTCATGCAGTCGTTCCAGAGTCTTGCTGGCATTGTGTTTCATGATGTGGACATCCTCTCTCCCATCTGTGGCGCTCTTGAAGCTCCCTGCTATCATATGAGGTTTAGGTTGAACGCGCTTTGGCATGTTCTTCAAGTCTTCTTCGCCAGCCTCTCGACCCAGCACATCCTGAGCTAATTCCGACATTTCTTCAGCCTCCTCGTTTTCGATGCGATGATGTTCAGATAAGCTGTCCTCGTCAATAGCTTCTTGGATTCGGTGCGCGAGCTGGAGTGGCAAGCCTAGATCGAATCGGCGTTCTAACATTGAAATGCACAACCTTCGTCTAGTGTCAGAAGTTGCATTTGTTGAGTCAACTGGAATGGAATCCCTTAATTGCGCGTGTTCCCGCAACTCCTCGGAGACGGCAGAGGTCATAATGATTGTTTTTGAAAGTTCCATGAGGTCGTCGGCGTCCCCACGGCCGTAAGTAAACTTGGTAACCAGCCGAAGAGAATCGAACGTTTGCTCTAGTAGTGTAATAATGTTTTGACGCAGTTGTGGATATTGTATCATCTCTTCTACCATATCGAGTCTATCATTGATTGTTGAAAGAGACATGGAAGGGGCAGCTTCGTTTCGTCAGTAATTTTCAGAGACCGTTATTGCTCATGTACTTACACAAGCGCTGCGTAAGTAATCTAGTTCCACTCTTCGTGACTGTCTTCTTTAGAGTGTGTAACAGGCTTCCTTCGTATGTTCCATCACGAATAGTACTCCTGATTTCTAGTGCTCTCAAACTGTTCTTATCGATGCTCATATAGTCTTCAGCTTGGTGTCTTATCGGAGCCTGAAGCCGTGTCTGCGAATCAAACAGTTGATGCTTGACGTAATGTAGCAGCGAACCTCCTGCAGCCACTTCACCAGGTGTGAAATCGGCCATGCCAAAGTCACCCACAATTTTTTCTAACATGGGTTTCCAGTTTTCAACAGTCAGTTGCGTTTTGGGGGGGTCTTGGAAAGTAATTGTATGCCCATCTTGCTGTATGGCAGAGACAATGTCAGCGTAATTAGCCTCTTGAAAGACGCTGCTCAATACTATCTCCCTCGGTTTGATACGAGCGAGCACTGAGGGCAGGGACGCGATATCTGTACTTTGGGTCAGGAAGTCGCCACTGGATAGATCGATCCATGCAAGTCCGACTTCAGTGCGTGGTAGGTTGAGAACTGAGGAAACGCTGGCACTGCCAGGGCTCTGTTTTACTGCAGTTTCTTTCCTAAGCACTTCTGGATCTACATGAATACTAAGAAGGTAGTTGTTCTCCCATGGATCCATAAAGTGCTCATCAATGAGGGTACCTGGCGTCACAATGCGCGAAACTCTTCTCGTGTATTGAGGCTCACCCTTTGCTCTAGTTGGCGCGTCATTGACATACTCGTCGCTTATTGCAACATGCTTGTTGAGGTCCTGGACAAGGATTTTGAGATAACGATCTAGCTGGTAAGCGGGGAATCCAGCCTAGGACCATTAGCGCCGCTTTTCTTTACTAGGAAAATGGGCTTTTGACTGACCATAGATACAGGAGGCTTCCTGCTGCCTTTCAAGGCCTTTCTTCTGGTTTTTCTGATATTTAGTAGGGGCGCAAACTCATCTGCATGCTCAAAGTATAACTAATCGTCAATTTAGTAAGGATAGCAGTGGATCGGCTATGTTGGTCAAGTACCTCGTAGAAGCCTCCGACGCGTGTGAGGAGTACACAATGGCTGAACTTGAGCATGTTGTTGCGCACTTGCTGCAATAACGGAGGGTATTCTGGTTCGGCGTCATTCTGGGGTAGTAGCGCCTCAGATTGAATAGCGCCTTGTTGTATATCATCCAATTGTAAAGTAGTTTTTCTCTTTGCGCCACGGCGTTGGGATGCTTGGAGCCATGGCAGACTCACATGCTGCGCTGCACGTGGTTTCGCGAAGGGTCGTGTTGAGCTTGGAACGAGGCCCGTAATGGCAGTGTATGGTCTGTAAGCAACCGACAGAATCCTGGTTTTGGATGACAGATTTGAACGCGCCAGACCTTCGGCACGCCTGCAGAGCATCCTCGTTTTTTAAGCTGTGTAGAGGAAACATGGGTGGGGTACAATGGTCGAAATGCAGGGACGCGTCTGCATCCGGTTAGCTCATCGGACCTTTAGTACGCGGGGTACTCGGAATGTCTAAAGTTAAGCCGCTGACGATACTTCAGCGTGCATCCGACCCATCTGCTTCCATTCACAACAAAAATGGCGCCCCAATTTGAGCCTATGAAGAATGATTTGATCCTACGCACAGCGAGAGGTTGATGACTCTCCGCTATTCCTGATAGACATCATAAAATTGACATTGCACAGGCGAAAAGGTTGAGCGCCCGCCAATATGGGTAATGCGGCAAGGTACGGACTCTCGTCCTCGAAGACCCTCAGGCGCTGATGATGCGTAGCCGGGCGCTATCTCCCCGAGTACCACAAGGAAAAGGGTACCAACGATTTTTTTGAATGCTGCCGCAGCCCCGAAATCGCGTCGAATCTCACCCTCCAGCCGATTGAGCGCTACGCGGGCCTCATTGACGCTGCCATCATCTTCTCCGATATCCTCGTCATTCCTCAGGCCATGGGCATGGAGGTGATCATGGTGGACAAGAAGGGACCCCACTTCCCGGAACCACTACAAACTCCGGATGACAAACAGTACAAGGAGGTGCTTGAGAGAGAGGTGGATGTTGCAGAATCGCTCGACTATGTTTACAAGGCCATTACTCTCACAAGACAAAAGTTGGCGGGAAGGGTACCACTGATTGGCTTCTGCGGTGC